CCACCACATCCGATTTTATTCTTTGTGACTAAATATTCTACTGTGTATATATATACCATATTGTCTTTATCCATTATCCATTGACAGGCTACTAGGCTGATTCTGTATTTTGGATACTGTGAATTGTGTCATAACAAACATGGATATGCAGGTACCTCTATAATGTGCTGACTTTAATTCCTTTAGATATATACCAAGGAGTGGTATGGTTTTATCATACGGTAGTTCTACTTTTAGTTTTTTGAGGAAATTCCATACTGATTTCCATAGTGGCTATACTAATTTACACTCCAGCCAACAGTGTATAAGGAATCTCTTTGCCCTCTATCTTCATCATTTATTGTTTATATTCTTACTGATAGCTATTCAGAGTGGGATGAGATGAAATTTCAACATAGTTTGATTAGTATTTCCCAGATGGCTAAAAATTTTGGACATCTTTTCATGTAATTATTGTCCACTTTTACTTCTTTTGAGAAATATTTTAGTTTTTTTTTTTTTTCTTTTTTAAAGAGACAAACTTTCACTATGCACTTCAGGGATTTCACTGAAATCCCAGCAGTCTTCCTGCCTTAGCCTCCCAAGTGCTTGGATTATAGGCATGCACCACCAAACCCAGTTTATTTGCTGATTTTTTATTTCATTGATTGTTCTTTCAAAGTTTTTTTTTTTAGTTCTTTATATATTCTCGATATTATTCTTCTGTTGCAAGAGTAGCTAGCTAAGTTTTTCTCTTATCCTGTAGGCTGTCTCTTCACTTTTATTTCCTTTGTTGTGCAGAACCTTTTTAATTGGATGCAATCCCATTGTCAATTCTTGATTTTATTTTCTGAGCTAATGGAGTCCTATTCTTGAAGTCATTGCATGAACTGTATGTTGAAGTGTTTCCTGCTTGCTTCTATCCATTTCAAAGTTTCATGATCTGTGTTTAGCTCTTTCATCCATTTTGAGTTGATTTTTTTAAAGGGGATCTACTTTCAATCTTTTACCTGTAGATACCCAGTTTTCCCAGCGCCAGTTGTTAAAGAGGGTGCTTTTTTTCCAATGTATGTTTTGACCTCTTTATCAACAGTTGGCTGTAGCTACTGGGGTTTGTTTCTTGTGTTTTGTATTGTTCTATTCCGTTAAGTGTTTTGTTTTTATGCCAGTATCCTGTTTTTGTTTCTGTTGCTCTGTAGTATATTTTTGATATTATGTACTGATGCCTTTGCTTTAGTTTTTTGCTCAGGATTGATTTGGCTATTCTGTATCCCATTTCCAGATGAATTTTAGCACTCATTTTGTAGTTTTGTGAAGTCATTTGTATTTTGATGGTGATTGCACTTGAGTCAGTAGATTGTTTTCTTAACATAGCCCCCTAAGAATATTAATTCTCCTGGGTCACAAGTTTGGGAGGTCTTTCCATTTTCTAGTGTATTCTTCAATTTCTATGTTTAGTGTTCTGTAATTTTCACTGTACAGGTGTTTCACTTCCTTGGATGTTTACTGGGTATTATTTTTGAAGCTACTATCAATGAACTTTTTTTTTCCTCAATGAACATTTTCTTATTTTTCTTCGTGACTTCATTATTAGTTGCTGCGTCCTGTGCAGCTCTTGAGGTTGAGGAGAAATAAAGGTAAGAGACAATATATAAAAAGCTGAGGTCAGGTGGAGCCCTATGTCCTGATGGGAGGAAAGGAACTGCTCAACTACCACAGTGCATTTTTATTTATACACTCAGCAGGTTGATGTCATATGACACCCCTTTGCTTAGCTAGCTCACCTAATGCCTGTGTTCTGGGACTGGAACACCTGTTCACCTGGGGAGCTCCATGCCCTCAGGGTGTTCCTTGGGCACTCTGTGCTCTTATCTGTGAATGATTAGTAGCTCAGCTGCTCCCCACAATTAGTGTATAGAAACACTAGTGGTTTTTTAACTTTTTTTTTTTATCTTGCTATGGTGCTGCATTTGTTCAGCATGTCTAAATACTGTTCGAGGTATTTAGGGTCTTCTGAGTACAGGATCATCTGCAAATAAGGGTAATCTGACACCTTCCCTTCCTATTTGTAGTCCTTGTATTTCTTTCCCTTGCTTAATTGCCCTGACTAAAAATTCAAGTAACTGTGTTGAATGTGGACATCCTTGTCTTGATCTTGATTGTAAAGGAAGTGCTTTCAGTTTTTCCCCATGCAGTCTGATGTTGGTTATGCATTTGTCATCTATAGCCTTTATTATATTGAGGTATTACCTTTGTATACTAATTTCTTCAGGGCTTTTATCATGAAGGAATGTGAATTTTGCTGAAGGCTTTTTTTTTTGCATCTATTGAAATGATCATGTGATTTTTATCTTTGTATTTATGTGGTTTATTATGTTTATTGACTTGTATATGCTGAACCATTCTTTTTTTTTTTTTTTGGTTTTTTGGTTTTTTCTCCGGTACCAGGAACCGAACTCACGACCTTGCGCTTGCCAGGCAGGCGCTTTGCCGCTGAGCTAAATCCCCGGCCCCCGCTGAACCATTCTTGCATTCCTGGAGAAACTTTTTTTCTGAGTTTGTTTTTGTGGCGCTGGGGATGGAACTCTGGGCCTTAGGCATGCTAGGCAAGTACTCTACCACTGCAGTTTAGTCCCATCATTTTTTCTAAAAGTTTTCATAATCTTATTAGTGATTTTCAGAGTGACTATCGGAACTACTTATGAGGTCTGTTGTAGCTACTGCTTGACTACTGCAAGTTTCTGCTTTAGTAGGCAAGGCCTGAGAAATTGCATTTTTTTAGGTTCCCATAAGTGTCTTATGCTACTGGTCCAGGGTCTACAATTTGAGAAATACTGGTCTATAAAATTAGAGACACCTTACATTAATTCTAACTATACTTACTTATTGTTTACATAATACACCAGGCATTGTTCTGGGCCTGGGATACAGGAGTGGATAAAACAAAGTCCTTGCCTTCAAGATTTCCTCCAGGTATTAAAACACATTAAAATGCACAATAATTAAAACAGTGTAGTTCTGGTATAAAAATGGACATAGCAGTAATCTAGATAAGAAAAAAACCAACCGTGGATTACAGAACAACTGCATATACACTGAAAACAGTTGTTTTTTTTTTTTTTTTTTTTCTGGCAAGTTCCCAGTATGCAGTTCAGGCTGGTCTTGCACTGCATAGCTCAGGCTGGCCTTGAAATTGTGGTGATCCTTCTACTTTGGCCTCCCGAGTGCTGGGATTACAGGGGTGCCCTACCACACTCGGTTTAAAGGCGGTATTGCAGAATGGTTTCAGGACTTATTTAAGTAATTTAGAGAGCCTATTTTAGAGTTTCCTAGCACTTCCAGATTTGGACTACCAATGTTTGGTACTCCCTGTATTTTTAAAGTTTCGAGTAGTCTTTACACTAGGTGCTTAAAATGTGGCAAACATAGATGTCACTCCAAATTCAAGAGAGGATGCTCTGAAATTACTACTTTCAGGTGGATCTTAACAAGCCTCCATTTTCAGCTGATTTGTACTAATAAGGAAAATGGTAGGAACAAGAAATCATTTAGAAAGGCTCAGGCTTTATAATTCTCCCTTCCTTTCCTTATCCCAACATGTGGAAGTCTCTCACTCAGATGGTCTTTCTAATAAGTGAGAGACAGGTACATGTCCAGAACATTTGATTAATGGAGGAAAAGTATGTTAAAACCCATTCCATGTGAGATCAACTTTAAAATGCAAAAGTAAAAACAAAAAAATACAGATGATTCTTTATCTCAAACAGAGTAACAAAAAGACTGTAGATTACACGATTTACAAATTAGTTAAAAAGGTTAAGAAATAGATCAAGAAAATAACATAGGTAGATTACATAATGCACTAATTACTAAGAAAAACATGAGTGTATTAATGGAAGTGAATAAAACGTTAATCTAAGAAATGTAAAATCAGTTAATGTATGAAAAACTGTTTATCCTTCCTGGTAGATCAAAGAAAATGCCAATTAAATTTAACTATTAAACACCACTCCAAAACATAAAGTTGATTAAAATCCAAAGCTTGGTGCCAACCCTAGGCCAATGCAGTGTTATAGATGAGATGAAGTACGCTCTTAGAGATGGGAAACAAAACACTGTGGTTAAAAACCTCTCTAGAAGCAGCTTGACAGTGAACATAGTAATATGTAGATAAGAAATATTATAAATAATAATATAGACAATAGCTTTATAAATATTCAAATACTTTGACCCAGTAATTCTGCCTCAGCAATTCACTGTAAAGAAATCATCAGAAACAGAAGTCTCCACAGCAGTATTTGACCAGATATATTGCACTGCTTAGGGCCGTACCTGGCTGCGTGTAACAGAAACCTGACAGAGGTTTAGAAAAGCAGCGTATTCCTCCTTCCTAGGCATGTGGGAGTTCAGAGGCCAGCAGCTGGTCAAGATCCAAGCTCTCCAGCCTTCCTCTGTAACACCCAAAGCGTGCAGCTGTCTTCTGTATGCCAAAGAGAAACCAGGCGCACCCAGGTTTCCCGTCCATACTCCAAGCAGAGCGAAGAGAGAAGGGCAAGGCTCATGCTCCGTTTGTCCGTCTGTGTCAAACCCCAAGCAGCTTTACTAAGCTTCTGTGTGTATCTCTTAATGCTCCGCAGTGAGTCATATAACCTCTCTTAGCAGAGGCTGGGGAGCGATTTTCAGCTGGGTACATTAACATCTCCCCCACCAGAAGCGGTGTTCAGCTAATAAGGAAAATGTAATAGGGTGTCTGTTTTATTATGAAATTCTCTGTAATTGTTAATCTCAGGTTTTTGAATTTACAGATCTGGAAAGTGCTCACAATGTAATACCAAGTGAGAAGCAAGACAGAGAACATAGTAATATAATCTTGGTTTTATTTTATTTCATGTTTTATTTTCTGGTCTTTTTGAGACAGGGTCTCACTATGCAGTTCAGGCTGGCCTTGAGCTCACTTTGTAGCCCAGGCTGGTCGCAGACTCACAACAATCCTCCTGCCTCAGCCTCCCGAGTGCGTGAGCTACCACACCTGGCTTTCTTGGTTTAATTTTAAAAATATAATTTATATATATACACCCACACAAGGGGAAAAAAAGCTAACTGCAGCCAGTTGTGGTGATGTCTGCTTGTAATTCCAGGACTCTGGACGGCTGAGGCAGGAGGATCACAAGTTTGAGCCCAGCATGGGCAACTTAGTGATACAGTAAGACCCTGTCTCAAAATTTAAAAAGTTAAAAAAGCTGGGGGTATAGCCCAGTCCAGAGTCCCTGGGTTCAATCCCCAGTACTACAAAACAAAAACTAAACATTAATTGTAGTTAACATCTATACACTATAGTTGGTATCTCTAGTTAGAGTGGTAACAATGGTAGACAGTTTTCATTTTATATTTTTGCTATATTTTCTATAATAAACTTTATAACTGGGAAAAATGTTATTTAAAAAACACAGGGAAAATATTATTTTAAAAAGTACTTCATATACTTTCAAAGGTGACTAAACTAAAATGCTTATGCTCACTCATTTTCATCGTCATTGCCAAAGGAAAGGAGGCTGCTATTTTTTATTTGCTTTTGTGAGCTTTTTTTAAGTGAATCCTGCTTATTTACTTCCTCTTCATTTGTCTTCTTCTTTTTTGAACTTGCTGTTAAACCTGAGTATTTTTCATCTGAGGTCCGCTTGACTGGTTTTCGATACATGATTCTTCCATCACTTGGGGCTGGTTCTTCATCTGAAGAAAAACAAAGGTGAAAGGATTTTCTTCTCCCCTTATTATTCTGCTATTTTTAGAGAGTCAAAGGGCAAGGAAAATCTCACATTGTATTTGAGGGTGTCCTTGGTTCCATTCCGTTCCCTCACCCCTTCTCACTATATGCCCCATGGCTGTGCACTGACTCCATAAGAACTCACAGAGCTTCTCCGCACTAGTGTGACTCCCCAAGTTCATTACGGTGGGGGCCAAACCCAGGGCTTTGCCCGTGGTCTACAACTGAGGTGTGCTGCAGCCCATTGGATCGCTTTGTCCGAAGTACTGCAGGATGAACCTAGGGCCTTTGCACTGAGCTACATCTGCAGCCCTTTGATCCTTTTAAACTTTTTTAAAATTTTGAGACAAAGTCTCACTAAGCTCAGTCAAACCTGCTTCAACCTCAGCCTCTTCAGATGAAGCCTTCAGCTTCAGCCTCTCCAAGTGCTGGGGTTATATGCACCACCATGTCTGGCTCTAAGCTTTTAAAAAGCGAAACAGTACTTTCCCCTATAACAATGTGAAGTTTAGGAATAATAAATTTATACTATGTAGTGCATGTTATACTATACACTATGCCTCAGATACCAGTTACAGTCAGGCATGGTAGTGCAGGCCTGTAATCACAGCACTCGGGAGGCTGGGCAGGAAGACTGCTGTGAGTTTGAGGCCAGCCTGGGCTCCATAGTGAGTTAGAGTCCAGCTTGCACTACATAGTGAGACCCTGTCTCCAAGAAAAAAGAAAAGATACCAACTACATAGATTTTGTTGACTGGTTGTAAACCTACCTATTAAAGGATGCTTTTACTCAAATTTCCACTTAATCCTCAAACAACCCAAAAAGGTAGGTACACCCTTTATCTCTATTTCACTGACAGGAACTTGAGGCTTGGAGATGAAATAATTTGCTCAAGGTTACACAATGTAGCTGGTAAGTGTCAAAGCCATCACTAGAACCAAAGACTGTCTCCTTCGGAAAGAACACTATTACATATACTACAGCAATTTCAATATTCTAGGCTCTTTACATTGTTGGAAAACCTGGATTACTTTCAGACATACCTGCTTTGGCAGCCTTTATTTCTGCTTTAATTTTCATGACTTCTTCAGCTGTCAGATCTCCCTTTTTTAAAACCACCACTTGGGGCTGTTCATCTTCTTTGTCACTGTGATCACCCTCTTCATCTGGGAGCTGAGGCTGGATTCTCTAGGGGAAAATGCAAATACAACAAGTAGGTTGTTGACCTCGAGCCAAATACAACCATGGTCACTGGAAGCAGCTGTAATTACTAAAGTGAGAAGGGTAACTATCAACTCAATGTGGCAGGAAATACATTTTCAAGTACCTCCAAAGAGCCTAACCTCGCCATTTCAGGGAACAGGTCTACCTGCTGGTCACCCTAGGGTGCCTATCCAGTGGGTTCCACTTCTCACTCGGCAGGATCCCAGCCGGCAGCTACTTGTGTCCGTGGCCCTCTGCTTTGGGTAATGCTATCACTCCCAGCCTCCTCAAGGCAGCCATGGGCAATGTCACCTCTTTGCTTCTCATCAACACTTCTCACCTCATCAAAGTTAGACCAAAAGTAGCCAACCACCATCAAAGTATAGAAAACAGCAAGTAAAAGGTATTCTTTCCCCTACAGCATCCCTTTAACAGCTTCAATTTAGTGGATATACTATCAGCTGTTTTCCAAGTGTCTACTAATATGTAAGCATATAAAATGTTTTGGACATAAACAATACTACACACATTCTGCAACTTTTCTATTGTTCTACCTTTAAATTACAAAACTTCTGAAACATACAGAACGGAGAATAATGTAACAGAAACCATTTAATCCTACTATCCAGGTTATAAGTGATAACATTTTGCCAGTCGATTAGGATTTTTTTTGACTGCCAGACATCAGAAAAGGCCCACTCCAACTTTTCACTCAAAACATATTTTTGCACAATACTTTGACTACATATAGGACTATCTAGTTTTATAAATCACTGCCTTGAACTTAATCATGTACACAGTATAGTCATCTCATGAGATATTGTACCCTATAAATAAAAAGATTTGGCTGTTTCCAGTTTTTTCCTACACTTTTGGAAACTTATGACAAATTTCGAGAAGTGGATTGAAAGATACGCACACCAAAATGTGTCTGCACGCATTATTCAAATAGCTCGTCATTCCACTTCTTACAGAGTCTTCCTTGTCTCCAACAGCACCTTGCATGACTCAACTTTAGCCTCTAACCACTGCTTTATCCTGTATCACTCTCTCACAACCTCTAGACTCCACCCAGATTTTAGTACTTGGATATCCATGAACATATCCTCTCTGTTCCTCTTGTCTTAATGGAAGCGCTGGACATACAGTCCTAAATAAATTTACTTCTTTATACGTCCTCTACGCAAAATGGTATGCTATTACTGAAAGTGGTCGAGTAGGTTTTGGTGTCAACCAGTCAGGGTGCAGGGTGGACACCTTGGCATTTGATTCCCTCTGAAATCCTGTCCTAGATAAGTGTGGCTCTCCCCTGAAGCTTTTCTTTTCTTGCTTTCTTCTTCTTCTTTTTTTTTTTTTTTTGGCTTTTTTGAGACAGGGTCTCGCTGTGCAGTTCAGGCTGGCCTTGAGCGCACTTTGTTGCCCAGGCTGGTCTCGAACTCGCAACAACCCTCCTGCCTCAGCCTCCCGAGTGCTGGGATTACAGGCGTGCGCCACCACGCCCAGCTTCCCCTGAAGCTTTTCTATTCAGGCTCGGCATTATAAGCGTTTTGTTTTTTTAAAAAAAGTACCTCATGGTAACAACAAAGCATAAAAATAGATCCGATACGTGACGTTTCTTCAAAGATGTTCCCGCCTCGGGTCTTAGAACATGGTGTCACTTGACCCAGTGCCCTTAGTTTCCTCATCTGGAAAACTGGGCGACGCTATCACCTACCCTGCTCACAGGGCCCGAGATGAGTGGGAAAGAAGACACAGGAAAGCGCTATTTCCTATCTCCCAGGAGCAGGTACTTTTCCTACGTCAGGTCATTCCGAAAAACACAGCATCGCTCGGAAAAGGAGAGAGCTTCCCGGACGCAGAAGGATGTCGCAGTCTGGGCAGGACCGCGCGGAGGTCAGACGCCCACCGAAAGGTGAGTGGAAGGCGGGGCTGGTTAGTACCTAGTCTCCGGGTCGCTGCCGAATCCGGAAGTGGCGGGAGGACAGGGTTTCTCAAGTAGCGCGACCAGCCCGGGCTCACCTTGGTCTCCACGGTGGGCCCTTCCCGGTAGCCGACTTGCTCCTTGAAGCGAGACAGGAACGCGGGCTCGGCGGGCCGCACGTACGACACCCGGTTCCGCTGGCTCATGGCAGCTCTGGGCAAAGACAAATTCTCGTAGCACAGCGTAGAGGCGGCGGCGCATACATAATACGTCACGCCACCACACCCCCGACGCGAAGACGCGATCGGGGGGCGGTGCCCTGCGCGTCACTTCCGCGCGCCTAATTCAAATTCGCCGCCATCTTGAGCGGGCGGGATCCTGGGGCGCGGCGCGCCCGGGAGGCGGAGGCGCGGGTGGAGTTTTTCGCGGCTCTCGGACCCATGGCTGTGGCCGCTATGGCACCGGGATGCAAAAGTAAGGGAAGCCCGGCCTCGCGACCCGTCACTGGGGTTCCCTTCCGAGCGGGGGAGCGCGACCCTCGGTCCCTCGCTGACAGTGTTGGGCGGCATGCGGCGCGGGGAAGCCCGCGTCCTCTCCGTGGTCCTCCGCGTCGTCGTCGTCTCCCTCGCCCCTTCCGCAGGTCTCCACGACCCTGCCTTTCTGGAAGAGAAGGGTTTATTACCCAGACACTCCCTCCTCCTCCGGATAGTTTCTGCTCAGACAAGGGGATTTGCGGGCAGAGCCTGCGGTGTGTGGAACCGGGGTCCCCGACCCCGAGCGCCCCGGTGCTGAAGCAGCGTGTGCGCCGCCTGGCCTGTGCGCGGTCGTTTGTGCCTGTTCGTGCGTGCAGCGCGCGAACCAGGCACAGTAGTGAGACGGAGCGGCGGTCGCACACGGCATCCCGTAGTCACAGCTGGGCGCGCGTGGTCTCTCTCCAAACCTTTTCCGTATTGCTCTTACCCTCCGTCTCGTGCGGCGAGATGGCAGAATGCCTGCGTGGTGCGCTGAAGTGAGCTGAGTGACGGTGACAGAGGCCATGAGGGTGACTTGACTTGCGCACAAGCACCGCGGTCTGCTTGGCGATCTGATCGCTGCGAGGCTGCTGACTGCTGGGAGGCTGGCGTTATAGACAGTGCGGATGTGTCCTGGGCTGGAGGAAGCAGGGTCCTGTTGAGATAGGAGAAATATAGGTAGAACGGAGACACGGTAAATGTCTAAACTAAAAATAAAAATCATTACAGTAAAAGATACATTGCCAAGAACGATGGGCAGCCTGTGTTTGAAGACGGGGAGAATTTTGAGGATTAGTGTAACTGTATCTTTTAATGTAATAATTTTTTTATAATTTAGCTTTCGTTGTATTTTTCGATCACCCTGCAGCTCCAGCCCCAGACCTTGGGGCACCACTGCCATGAGAGCCCACGCTCTGTGTTCTTCAGTTCTCCCTAATAAACCATTTTTTGTCTCTCACTGTTGTATCCTGAGCTTCTTTTACCGTGATGAGAGTCAAGAACCTACTTGGCAGGCTGAGTTGAGGTCCCCACCTCCTCTTTGGGGAGATCTTAGGCCCATCTGATGACTGAGATTTCGTCAGGCTACTCAGAATAGCATGTAATTTAAAAGCTTGTGATTTTTCTTCTGGGTTTTCCATTTAACATTTTAAGAAATACCGTTTGTTTATTGGTACGTGTTTGCAGTACGTAATGATTACATTTCCGTTGACCATTTCTGGACTGCAGTTGACAGCCAGTAAGACACTGTGGAAAGAGAGCCCCCAGCGGTGGGAGCGGGGAAGCGGCCCTGCTGTGTGTGCTCAGTCTGTTTTCACCCGGAGGGCGGCGGTCTATTTCTTCCTCTTTTGTTCCCCAGAGGAGAGCAGCAGGGAGGCCGAGGCTTGGTGGCTCTCAGATTTTTGCTGTCATTTTTGCTTTTGATAAAGCCTTCAGTTTTCATTAAGTTCTTACTCCTTTGCTGTTCGTCTATGTGTCACCTCAAACTTTGCTTAATACCTTAAGGAGTGTTTTTAAATTTTTTTTCTTAAGTTTTTTTTTAAACATTTTATTGATGTATAGTTTGGGCTGGTCTTGAGCTCAGTGTGTAGCCCAGGCTGGTCTCAAATTCGCAGTAATCCTCCTGCCTCAGCCTCCCAAGTGCTGAGACTACAAACATGCACCACCATGCCTGGCCCAAATTCTTTTTTTTTAAGCTTCCTCCCTTCCCTTCTCCCCCGCCCCGCAGGAGTCTTACTTTTAAAGGTTAATTTGATGGAATATCTGTGAATGGAATGAAGAGGGGTCTGTGTTAGATGTTTGAAAATATTGTGAACTTTGACATTTGAACCTTTGTTTTCTGTTTTTTTTTTCCGGTACCGGGAATCGAACTCACGACTTTGCGCTTGCCAGGCAGGCGCTGGAACCTTTGTTTTCTGATAGGTTGGTTTTTTAGTTAACCATTTATATCAGTCACACCGTTGTCTGAATACCTCTTTATGCTGTCCTTTTCCATCTAAAATATCCCTTTTGTTCCACTATTTTCAGTATTTAGGGAATAAAGCATACAAATTGGTATGGACAGCGATGTTTATCACACTTTTTGCAACATCACAGTATTTGTCTTTTGATTCCACCTTATTCCTAAATTCAGAGTTTGTAGTCTAGCAAAAGAATTGATGCCTTTGACACAGTTAAGAGCATCTGCTTGTTTAACAGGAAGTGACATTGACATGTGTCTCTAAAAGGGCACTGTTTTGCCTTTAAACTGAACTTGAAAACTTTCCACTAGTGATGGGGGCAAAGTTGTTCACAGAGACCTCAGTAGTGGTGATGCCGGGAGGAATTTCCTGCTTCCTTAGGTTGTTGGCAAAGTCGAGGTTGGTGACATCCCAAGTAAAGTCCTTCTGGCATTCCCAGCAGAGGGGCTGGAGTGTGAAGAGGGACCTGAGCCATTTTCCCTTTTGTGCCACAGAGGCTGACTAGCGACACCCTTTGCTCCATGGACTGCTTGCTGCCTGTGAAGTCAGAAATGAGAAATTGAAATGTAACCCTCAGGAAATGAGTGGTTGAGTTTAAGAGTCCCTTTCTGGACTTAATCAGGTTTGGTCAAATGATAGATAAGTATTTGTCTAGACTGCAGAGTAAATTATCCTATGGTCTTTTAAAAGCGAGAAGACTTCAAAGTTTACTGTTTTGTTGAGGTATAACTCACATGTAGTAAAAAAGCACAAATCTTAACAATACCATTGAACACATGTTCATGTGAATTCACCCATATAACCACCACCCAATTAAAAAGCCAGAACTGCCCCTGTATGCCTAGAAAGTTCACTGTGACTCTTCCTAGTCAGTCCCCCAACCCAACAAGTACTCTGATTTTTATCACTACTGACTGCTGTAGTTTTGTCTAACCTTGAACCTCATAGAAGTGGTATAATGCATATTCTTTTTTTGTTTTTGTTGTGACTGCTTTTACTGAATATTATATCTGTGAGCATTGTCCTTCCTTGTAGGCAGTGGTGGTTTTTCATTATTGTGTGGTGTTCCATTATGCCAGTACACCATAATTTGTTTATTTTGTTGACGGGTATCTGGGTTTCTAGATTGGGCTATTATGAATAAAATCTCTGTGAATAGTTTTCATATTTTTATGCACGTAGAGAATTTCACAGTGAATGTCTACAAATGGCTTCCATTGATTGATTGATTGGAGTAGAGGGAATCAAATCCAGGGCCTTGCACATGCTAGGAAAGTGCACTACCATTGAGCTACCCTTCCAGTCCCAAAGGAGCTTCTAATATCACAGTTCTGTGACAGCCACCTGATGAACTTTTATACTTCTTTTCATCTTTTGTTTGTTTGGACTGAACATCACCCCAGCGTAGTAGACTGGGATAGAATGGAGAGAAGGATCTGTGCCTGGCGCTGCACTGCCCTGTGAGGGATCTGAGGAGACCAAGGCTTGTTAGAGAAAGTGAAACTTCCGTAGTCTGATTGTAACCACCTCTCATGACTTCTCACCTTTTTTCTAGCTGAATTACGCAGCGTGATAACTTCTCAGTCTAATCAACTGAGGTAAGAAAACAATTTTGTCTTGAGCCCCTCCCCCCAAAATTGTTAGGCAGTATTTCTAAAAGAACTATTTAGCATAGTAAGGGGACTTGTTTCACATGTTAGTTGGCCATCAACTGATTGAATGGAAACATGGGATAATCACATATCTCCCTGCCCTCTCTATTTCTAGGCTAAAATGTAGAATCAGTTGCATAATTCTCCCTTGGAATCACTTGTCCTATCATTGCTAGTAAGAAGGAAATGAAACGAGAGGCAAGCAGTGTTTGTGTCTCCTTGAAATGAACTCCCTTGAAGTTTGTTTCTAGTAAAAGGTGAAGGTGCTGTCGTAGAGTAAATTAATAAAGGGCATGGGTTGCACGAGACTCTTTAATTAAAAGTGGTCAATATAAATGGGGTAGGCTTTTTCAGGGAACCTCACGCAATACATATTAGAGGCAATCTGAGACTCAGATTCTCTGACTCTTTTCTCCAGAAACTTCTTTGTCACCTGTTTTTTTTTTTTTTTATCTCTTGCTTTAGTCATGAAGGTGATGCCATCAGAGTTTTTGTACGAGTCCGTCCACCTGCAGAGGGCTCGAGATCAGGATCAGCGGATGGAGAACAAAACCTGTGCCTCTCCGTGCTGTCCTCCACCACCCTCCGGCTGCATTCTAACCCTGAGCCCAAGACCTTCACGTTTGATTACATAGCTGACATGGACACCACTCAGGTAGAGAGAACTGGAAGCTTCCCCCATGGAATGTAGAAGCCTTTGTTATTTGTAAGGGTTTCATTGTTGGTCTCATTAGTTTGACAGATTTCTAATTTTATTGTTTTTTTCCTTTCTTTTTTTCTGTTTATTTCCAATAATGGGGACCCACCCAAGGAGCCCTCTACCTCTGAGCTACATCCCTAACCCTTTTTATTTTGAGAAAGGGTTTTTGAGAAATTAGCTGCATAGGCTGGCCTTATGTTTGTGAGCCTCCTGCCTCAGCCTCGTGAGTAGCTGGGATTATAGGTGTGTGCCATCGTGCCCGGCTCTTTCTGTTAGAGTAAGACACGCTGCTTTACTTTCCGCTTCTACTCAGTGATGGAAGTTCATGGAAATGTGCTTTTCAGAGCTACTTGAGTGGTAGCCACAGCAGCTGCGTAGTTTAATACTTAGAATTACTGTGATGTCTATAACTATTTTTTTCAGTTAAAGTCAATTTAATTAAGGTCTAGTCAACACTATCCAATAGGACTTTTCTGCAACAATGGAAGTGTTTCATATCTGAGCTGCCCATCATCTCTAGTGACTATTTAAGTGTAAGTTAAGAGCTAGATATGATGAGGCTGAGGCAGGAGGATTGTCCCAAGTTCAACACCAGCCTGGGATCTAAACAACTAATTTGAAGACAACAATATGCAATATATCAACCATTGTTGAATTTCTGTCATCTTGTTTAGTAAAGCTCTGTATTGTTTCTAACATTTTTTAAAATTTCTTTCTCTTCTCTTTAATCGTTTGATCAATCTTGCATTCTTACATCTGGTAATTGGACAAGTTTGTTGAAGATAACAGTATGTAATATAACAACCATTGTCAATTCCTATCATCTTGTTTTGAAATCCTGTATATTTTTATTGTTTTTGTGTTGTTTTTGTCTTCATTGTTGTTATTTTGTTATTTTTTTCCTCTTTAAAATTGAAAAAAAAAAAAGACCAGCCTGGGCTACATAATGAGTCCAAGGCCAGGGTGAACTACATAGCAACAGCCTGTTTCAAAAAAAAAGTATAAATTAATTAAAATGAAATAAAATTCTGTGCCTCATAGGCATTAGCCATATGTGGCTATTAAGCACTTGAAATGTGGCTAGAGTATTTGATGAACTAAGTTTTATTTAATTTTAATTGAATTTAAACTGCATATGATGGCACACACTTGTAATCCCAGCTACTTAGGAGGCTGAGGCAGGAGTATTACAAGTTCAGGCTAGCCTGGGCAACTTAATGAGATCCTGTCTCAAAATGAAAAAATAAAAGGAAATAATGAAGTGAAGTAAAATAACACTGAGGGCTGGATATGGTGGTGCACCTTGGTAATCCTAGCACTCTGGGAGGCTGAGACAGGAGGACTGTAAGTTGGAGCCCAGCCTGGGGAGCTTAAGGAGGCCCTGTCTTAAAATATAAAAGGGGCTGGGGCTAGAACCCAGCCAGTTTTCCAGGAGTTAAGTATTCAGTTCCTAGTACTGGGGGCAGGGGCACTGGCAGTAGAGTTTCTCTATTAGTAATAGAGTATGTGCTGGTAGAGTTTCTGTATGAGTTCCCTGGGTTCAACCTCTGCTGCCTCAAAAACTAAAACAAACCACACCCACACCCGTTGCAGTAGGCTCTAGTCGATAGTGACTGCTCTACTGACATGATAGTTCTTGATTATGTCCTTATGTATCAGAACATGTATGAGAGGGGCCTTCACATCTTTAAATCTTCCTAATCTTTTTTTAAATCTTTTTGAGACAGGGTTTCCCTATGCAGTTCAGGCTGGCCCTGAGCTCACTTTGTAGCCCAGTCTGGTCTCGAACTCAAAACAGTCCTCCTGCCTTAGCCTCCCTAGTGCTGGGAGTACAGGCCAACGCCACCATGCCCGGCCTTTAAATCTTCATGCTTTTCATCTAGAATTACAAGCTGAGCCATCTGGATAATTTAAAATTTTCTAGTAGACACAGGTACAGCTCATTTTAATAACATGACTTGTCTCCAAAGGTCCAAATCCTCCCTTTCTTTCCCCTTTGGCAGTATTGGGATCAAACCCAGGGGCTTCCTATCACTGCACTATATTCCTACCCCCTTTTAGGATGTATTCATGTATGTATGTATGTATTTTGAGACAGGATCTCGCTGTGCAGTTCAGGCTGGCCTTGAGCTCACTTTGTAGCCCAGGCTGGCCTTTAACTCACGTGGATCCATCCTCCTGCCTCAGTCTCTTGAGTGCTGGGATTACAGGTGTGTACCACCACACCCAGAATCAATGTAAATTTTTTTTTTTTTTTTTTCTTGTACCAGGAATTGAACTCAGGACGTTGTGCTTGCCAGGCAGGCACTTAATGCCACTGAGCTGGATCCCCAGGCCCAATATAAATTCTTAATGACATAGTTTTCTTTCTTTTTCTGTAGCCCAGTCTTAAAAATCTAGTGTGTGTTTCCTCTTATAGCACCTTAGTGTGCATTAGTAACGTTTGAGGTATCAGTGGCCACAAGTGGTCATGAGCAGTGTGGGTTTAAGAGTTCTTGCATTGTTGATAAGACTACATCTAGTTATATATTAAAATGAAATTTATATTATTTGGTACAAACGTAGGAGAGAAAAACTGAAGAAGAGATAGGGCTGTGTATTTCTCACCAGTACCAGTATAATTATATGCAGTATGCAATATAGACTACTGTATGAAGTTTAGATGTGTACTTTGGGGCTGGAGATA